ATCTCTTTCAAAATTGGCTGTACATTTTTAGGTTTACAGATGAATTATTACGCTTATACAATCTTTTACTCATTATAAACTCTATAAGACATAAAATTAAATGAGGCTTTAATGTTTAAAAAAGATCTCCACTTCATTGTTAAAATACACAGTTTCATACAGAAGAATTCATTTTAAGGCAATTGACATTGAGACGTTTTCACATGCATTTCTAATCTCTATATAATAACAGGTAACTTTTATGGACAGATTGTTTCTGCTGTCTCAGATATTTGTGAGGCTGAGGTGGGAGGATCACTTGAGTCCAGGAGTTCAAACCAGCCTGGACAACACAGTGACCAACAAAATGTGTGTGTGTGCAAGGCAGATGAGTCGGAGAAGGCATTGCAGCACGTGCGTTGAGTGGCGGTGCGACTCTCCAGTTTCTGAATTCTCTCCAGCACCCTGTCACAGAGCTGTTACCTTGGCCTGCCTCCTGGTTCATGCCCTGTCATCTGCTCTGTCTCCATTGCTGCTTTCCATTCCTTCCCAGTTGCCCTGGAACTTTCCATCTTGATTGTGCTGAGCAGTTGAGCATTCTATGCTGAATCCTGAGCTGGCTCTCACCCGGTGTTTCAAGTCCAAACTTCTGCGCAAAGCACCTGTGGAGAGGGTTTTCCTAATAAAGCCAGGTGTGCATGTAGAAAAGGTCACAAGCTCAGACTCTGAATTAGCCTAAAGCATTCAGGTTTAGCTCTCCAATTCACAACTGTGAGAGTGTGGGGAAATCACTGTGGTCAGCTTTCTCTGCAGCAAATTGCAGATGAAAATAGCATCAAATCCATTTGATTGTTAAAGGATTAGATGACATGATCTGTGTAAAACACACGATGAAAGTTTTTAGTACCCAGTAAGTGCTTAATAAATGCTAGCCGATACTTTAAAAAGGAGTAGGTTGTGGATTCTTGGATGATATAGTTTGTGTTTCCAGGACTCTTAAGTCACATTACAAATGTTTGATTGATGGAAATTGTTTGAATAATTCCTTAACTATTATTTTCTTTCCGTAGACCAGTGAAACTCTTAATGTGTGTGGACCACAGCACTCACCCTGACTGTGCTCTAAATTCGTAAGTAAATGACTTAAATCAGAACATAGGTGAACTGCAAGTTGTTTTTACACCCACCCCTTTGAGGTGCCAGGTACACAGTAGGTTGGTTCTGCACTGCAGCCCCTCTGTCTCTGAGCTGGGAAGTTGGTGCAAATTTGACAGTCATCTGCAAGGTGAGACAGACTGGACAGACCGATGTCACCTTCTGTCCAGCAACACTTACTTCACTAGGAATGGGCCAGCAGGAGGACCTTGAACATTTCGTTCATAATCCCAAATTAAATTTTGAAGCGTTAATATGTATGCATGAAACAAAATTTAAAATTACAAAAGAACCAAGATAGTGAACAATCTTTTTTTTTTCTATTCCTCTGTCACTCAAGTTTCTCCAAGGTAGGTAGACTTCTATTTCTAGTTTCTTGTGTCCCTTTCTAGGTTATGGTATGCCTGTCACAGCACATGTGTGTATCCATACACATTCTGGGACACATGCTGGGCCACACACACACACACACACACACACACACACTCGAGTTCTCTTAACCCAATCATAAATGATAACACACATAAGATTCTGTACTTTGATTTTTCCAGTTGACAGTGTGTCTTAGAAATGTTTCCACATTTAAAAAAATATAAAATACAATTTATCACATGTATTTCAGGTTTACAAGATGATGTTGTAGGATATGTGTACATAGTAGAATGTTTACCATACTGAAACAGATTACCGTTATCTATGACCTCACATAATTATTTTCTCATGGCAAGAGAAGCTAAAATCTACTTATTTGATAACAATCTCAGAGACAATACAGTTTGATTGACTGTAAGCCTCACTGTGTAGATTAGAGCTCTAAGCCTGTTCGTTCTGCACATCTGTCTTTTCACGTTCTTTTCCTTGTATCTCCTGGTTTGCTCTCCTGCCCCCTGCTGGGTAAACAGTTTCATTGATATTTCTGTGTATTTGCTTGTCGCAGCACTATTCACATTAGCCAAGATGAATGGACTCTGTGTTTGTGTGTGTGTGTGTGTGTGTGTGTGTGTGTGTAATGTAATACACTTGGCTTCATAAAAGAGGGTCTTGTGCCATCTACCACAACATCCTAAATAAAGTCAGACACAGAAGGAAAAACTGTGTATGTAGAATATAATTTTGAAAGAACCAGGGGTCTTGCTCAAGGGTGGAAGCCTCGCCTAGCATAAGGCCCTGAATTTGATCCCCAGAACTACTAAATGAATGAATGAATAAATAAATGGAGTTCAAGTCTATAGATACAGAGTGAACCATATTTACGAGCGCTACCTTACTGCTTTCACAGCTCTGTGTATAAGTGTCGTGACTTATTTCACTGCTCACCCAGAGGTAACAGTCACTTCCACTATCTAGTTTTAGTGCACATATGTTGTTTGCACAGATGTCAGCTTGATCATTTGTTCGCTTTAGATTTGGTCATCTTTCTGTTTATGCATTTGCCTTTGGTTTTGGTACACGGAGCAGCCATACTGCTCAGGTCTGCCTGTGGGTTTTCTTCGTGATGTAATAGCAACCTCATTCCAGACATGCCATGCCAATCTTTTAGTGGCTGTCAAGAATGTTATGTAGGATGGCCATGCACCATTTATTTAATCCTTCCTCAGCCCTGGGTGACTTAGTCTAGTTGTAGGCTGTTGTAGTCGTTTTGTATGAATAATACTGAAATATAATTCTTGGTTGTATGCCTTGAGTGCTTGAGAAAGCATTTGCACAGAAGAAGTTACCAGCAATGGATAACATTGCCAATGATGAGTCTGGGACATGATCAGAATCAGAGGTGCAGCTGTCGCAAATGTCCAGCAGGGGGAGCCTTTGGCAAAGAAAGGAGTTCCCAGAATTCAAAGGGAGGTGGTATGTTTAAGGACCTGGCGACTAGACAGCAATGAGATTTATTTCTGAACCAACACAAGATGGTTTTACAGTTTTAGAAATTCACATTTTAATCCGCGTGGTTCCGCACGCCTTTAATTCCAGCACTCAGGAGACAGAGAGTAGGACAGCCCTGTGAGATAGAGACCAGTCTGGTCTACATAGCACGTTCAAGTCCTGCCCTGGCTACAAAGAGACCCAGT